TGTGATCCGTCCATGCCAAAGAAAGAGTGTCAGATCCAGAGATCTTGAGACGCCACGGCCTCAAGTATGACAGTGCAAGACCAGACATGGCCCTTATACTGCCCTTGCCAAGCAGAAGGGCAGTTCTTCCACTCCCAATGCATGCAGTCTATACTACCAAGCATCCCTGGGAAGCCCCTGCTGGCATTCATCGCCAACAAACGGGTTGTATCTTCAGCAGTCGGCTCTCTCAAGTACCCAGGGCCAAACACAGCAATAACAGCCTTGCAGAACTTATATAGTGACTCTAGGCAAGTAGACTCGCTCATACGGACGTACTCGTCAATGAGATCACCGGGCACTCCGTATGCAAGCATTCAGATGGCGGCAGTGCATTTCTGATAAGAGGAAAAATCAATCTTGCCAACGACATCCTCTTTGCACTCGAAATAGTCATCATAGCCGACCACCCCCTCTCTAATACGGTTAAAAACATGCCTACTCATACGGAAACGGCGGCGGAATTTCTGATGTTTGAACAATGGGTTTGTTGTATCAAAGTAGTCCTTCCAAAGAAGGAAATGCCCGCTCTCTCGGTTGCGATTCAACGCCGGAAGGTAGCCCGGAATGGAGCCACGGAACAATGGCTGTTGGCTGTTGAGGTGGTGATGGACCAACACGGCAGCCAATATCTCCTCCTCATCACCGGAGGACGAATCGTCAGAGTCGCAAAGGAAATTGTGGAAAAAAAACTCGTCGGCGGTCTCCATTTTATACCTTGGCAAATTGTCGGACAGCTGGCGGGCGTCGGCGAAGGAGACGGCCGGTGAAGGGAGTCGCGGCGTGCACGGACCAGCTAGTTGTCCTGCCGGCGTCCGACGAGCGTGCCGGCTTCCGATGAGCGTGCCAGCTTCCGACGAGCGTGCCGGTGAGGATCTGGCCGGGCGGCGAGGTGCCTTCTTGGTCGGGAGCGGCTGTGCGGTGGTGGGGGGCGGGGGCGGGAAGCAGTCGGCTCCCGACGGCAAGATGGCGGTGGCGGACGACGTGGGAGTGGGCGGCGTAGCTGGGCGGATGTGAATGCCCCGGCAGCTGGCAGAGTCGCCGGCAAAAATGGGGAGGCAGCGTCGGCACGGAGGAGGAGGGCGAGGGTTGCTGTTGTATGGGCAATGTGACACAGACCAGCAGGCCCGTGGGAGGAGAGGGCGAGCGTGCGCGCGTCCATCGCGTGTCCGCGCTGACGCAAATCCGGCTCAGAAATGGGCCGGAAATGGGTCGCCCGCGGACGAAAAGCGGACGTGCGTCAGTTTGGGTCGCCGCGTTGGGCCGCCTTTTCTGTCCGCGCCGACCTAAACGGACGGCGGCGGACGAAATGGGTCGTCCCATTGGAGTTGCTCTTAGGATGTGAACTAGTAATAAAGCTAATAAAGCTTGGTTCTTCTAAAAAAAACCTAATTCAGGAGTAGTTGCGTTCGTGCCATTGTTTGTCTAGGCCGTCCACAACTTCAAGCGCAAGTTCTGATCCAGCCCCGGGCAGGCAGGCAACGTTCTGATTTCTGAATGTCGCGACACCTCCTGGGCCCCACTACGATCCCCATCCCACTTTCCCCTTTCCAGTCAAAAACCCTCGTCACGCCCCAAGCAAGTCCCAACCCAGCCCGAATGGAGAACCCGCTGCTGGAGATGGTGATCAGAGGCCTGCCTCTCCTTGTCGACGACGTCGACCTCGCCGAGAGCCTCCTCGACCTCGTCCATGCCGAGATCGACCGGACCGAACTCCGCCTCGGCGAGGTGGCGACCCAGCTCGAGCAAATCCAGGGCCTGGCCTTGGAGTTGGAGGGAATGCGCCTGGCCCTCCCCGTGGCAACGGAGGAGCTTCTCGCGGCGAACGAGGCCAGCTTCCACGCCCTCCTGCGGCAGCAGCGGCATCTCACCCAGGCCGTCCAAGTGCTCCTCGTTCTCCGGGCGGCCGCCTACACCAGGAGCCGCTCGCACCTTGTCCCCGGCGTGCTCCTCGCGGCCGCATCGGCGGCGGTGGCGCCCGGGTTCAGGACCTTCGTCAGGTTCTCCGTCTTGGTGCTGGGTTTCCTCTTCGCTTCTGGTCGTGCTCGTGGAGGGTGATGTGGCTTCAGAAGCGTAGCTCACTTCGTACAATCGGTGCCCGTTAATTCCACTTTCCTTGTCATGTTGTTTGCTCTGTTGGTGATACAGATCTGAGACATGGTAATTGCTGAATGCTGACACATACCCTTCGTGGTTTTTGGGGGTTGAGATTTTTCTTTTGTGTGGTGGTGTTGGGGATGGGCCCACCATAAAGTTGCGAAATTTCTACATTAGACAAGAAGACTCAGATTTCTGTTTAAATTCAAGTGGAATTCCAGCAATATCTGGCAAGTTTTGAATCGTGTTCAATATAACTTGAATTCAAGTGTTACTGATTTAGTTTTAGCTAAATTGTGAATGTTTTGCTTCCCATTATAAGACCAATTCCAATCATTTCAATAAACATTATACTCCCTCCGTTTCTAAATATAAGTCTTTTTTTAGAGATTTCAATGTGAACTACATATGGATGTACTTCTTTTTAGAGATTTCAATGTGAACTACATATAGATGTACTCATTTTACTCCGTATGTAGTTCATAGTACAATCTCTAAAAAGACTTATATTTAGAAACAAAGGGAGTATTTCACATCTCTTATATTTTGGGTTGTCTTCCATAATTTATATCAAGTTTGATTGTTATATTGGCTATATGTTGTGTGTATAGTGAATCATATCTTTTTCGGGTTTGTTATAACGCTTCTCGGATTCTACTTCAGTTTGTTGGTGGCTTCCATTGACACTATTCGGGCGCATATATCTTTTCCATATCCCATTTAAAATGCTCAAATCCCCAAATTCACTATTCCAAATCATGAACATGTGCTTGGAAACATTGAATCCCGAGAGGCCACCACCACCATCATCGCCGAACTGGAGTGGAGGAGTTTGGTAACCATGAGCTTGAAGAAATTGTAGAGGCACTTTGTTGACCCAAGGCAAGGAGGAGGCGGACTTGTTGAACCGCGTCAACCACATCACCACATCATCAACATCAACCTCAATATCTTTATCATCATATAACTTCCTAACATGCCCGCAGTTGCCTTATCAACGCTCTCTTTCGCGAAATGCTCACCGAGCTCCGTGGCAAGGGCAGATCTATAATATTCGGCGGGTGATGAATTGCGGCACCGACATCATGCCCGTGCTTTTTGGTGCCGAGCAGGAGGACCCGCACTTCTAAGTTCATGGGGCCTAAGGGATGCACATGACAACATTGCAGATCTCATGGTGTGCTGGATGGAGCCAAGGTTTAGAATTTTGAAAGGGCAAAATATCGATGGACCTGTAAATAGTCAAATTTTCTAAAATTTCAAAAGTATTTTGAACAAATCAATGCATTTTTTTAACTTTGAATGAATTCACATGTAAAAAACTTGATTAAAGATACACAGCCGTGGACGTAGCAACTATTCATCCTTATGATTAGTCCATTGTTCAGCTAGCAATTAGGCCAGGTTTGAATTTTGCTTAGGTTATACTACCTCCGCCTCAAAATATAAGACGTTTTTGTAGGCTGACTTTTATTTTAAGACGGATGTAGTATTATTATTTTTGGCAAGAAAATTATTCTGTGCAAAGTAGTCAAGATGTGAGCGTCCCATGAATCAAACTCTAGACCTAGTGACTAGGAGAACAGATCGAAGTGTTTCTTTTAGCATACAAGTTTGGAAGTACCAATTTTTTTTGAGCGAAACGTGAAATATCCGCTCAGCCTGAAAACAGTCAAAAAAATCAAAATTTCTCAAAATTTCAATGAAATTTTAAATCTTGGATGGAGGCACTTGGTACGGATCGTCATGGGCTACATGTCAGATCCGGAGATGGATATGACGACATCTTGGCCAGGTTTGCAGAACCCTCGAGAAATTTTTATTATAAACTATACTTTTTTTACTAGTAATGCAGAAAATACAACTAAAAGAACCTAAGGTTCCATTTATACCTCCTTATTTCCTAGGGGGTAGCTTATAGGCTTACGACGATTAACAATAGTAACAGACAAGTCCCGTTAAGCTGAGTTACATGATGATAAACACTAATACTCCCTCTATTTTGGAACGGAGGGAGTACCGTACAACAAGTGAAATGGCATGTCCCATGTTGATCCTGGCTGCTTGCACCTCATCTTCACCCCGAGTCGTAGGATCGTCGTAGTGGCCCTCCGAAACGGTATCATGATTTAAGTGAAGAAATCGAACACAAGTACAGCAGTTCAGTTTTCTGAAAATCCTGAAACTAGTCCCCACTCCCCGTCCGAACCTTCACTAAATGCAAGTAGTTCAGTTTGGTTTGCTAGTGTCTGCCTGCATAAGAGCGGCCTTTTGTAATGGTGGAGTTCTAGTTGGCTTACATCTACCGATTGGATTATCGGATTTAGTCTTTCGTGTTATGGGGACTCATGTATCTGGTTTCATCTTTCAAGTAGTAACCACTCTTCAGTGTAACATTGCGGAAAATTAAGCCTCCTTCACTAAACATGTTCCCTCATATTCCATACTCCACACAGTCCTGGATGTACCGATCAGAGAATCACAAGAGTATTATCCAGAACTGCTTGGCATCAAATGAACTTTTAACTTCCTCAAAATTTAAATAAAACCAACTCTCCCTACTCACCGGAAGAAGCCTACGGCTGGGAATAATTAGGTTTCTTCGCTTTAGAACTAGACCTTCTCGCAAGGAAGAAAAGAACTTCACTTGTCAGAGCACGGCCGTTTCGGCAAACCCTTTGATGGCATCACCGTTTGGGTCCCTGATCAACTTCCTTCACAAGTCGAGCCGAGCACAGCACTGTGAAAGGGTGACACCTCGGCCCCACTGCCCACCATCCACTTTCCCCTTTCCAGTCCAAAAACCCCAGCCCGGCCAAGGCACACCGCCTGAAAACCCCACGGCGCCGCCCGCCCCAACGCCGATGGAGAACCCACTGGTGCCGGCGGTGCTCGACAACCCGCCCCTCCTCCTCGACAACCCCGACCTGGCCGACACCCTCCTCCACCGCGCCTTTGCAGACCTCCGGCGGAACAACGTCCTCGCCTTGCAGGCAGCCGTCTGTCTCTTGCAAGGCTTGCGCTTGGAGGCCGAGCTCCGGACCCTCCCCGCGCCCACGGAAGACCAGAGGCTCGAGCGCGCCGCTGTCGACGCGGTGCTTGATGCGCTCGTGGCCAGCATCGACTCCCTCACGGACCAGCAGTGGGCGCTCATCCGGCTCGTCGGGTTGCTCTTCGTGGTCCGGGCGGCCGCCTCCGCCAGGAGCCGCGCGCGCCTCCTCCCCGGCCTGCTCCTCGCGGCCGTCTCGGTGTCTGTGGTCATGTACGTCTCGACGGGAGGCGCCGTGGTGCCGGGGTTCAGGAGCTTCGTCGGGTTCTCGCTGTCCGTCGACTTGCCTTCGGATTCTTCTCCAGTCTCATCGTCTGCGTCGCTATCGTTGTGACCGCGGGGATGTTGAGTATCGTGATTATTAGGAAAGCTAGGATAGCGTAGGATATTATTCTACCTTGCCTTGTACTCCAAGATAATCATGTACTCCTATATATATGCCCATGAGGCTCAAGCAATACAACAATCATTCCACCAAACCCCTCTCTCCCTTCTAACATGGTATCAGTTTCTGGGTTCTAAACCCTAGCCGCCGCCGCTTCAGCACCCGCGCGCTGCCCCTGGGGTGGTCGGCCTCCATGACCGCCGCCGGGGGCCGCGCCGCCCTTACCTAGGGTTTGTCCGCCGGCCGTATTGACCGGCTGCCCTAGAGAGTCTTTTTCCCGATCCTTTGATCCGAATTTTTCTCTCTTTCGTCAGTCGCTTTCACTACTAGGGAAAAGCCTAGCAGCAGCGCGGGTTTTGGCCCTCTCAGTAGCGCGGGTACCGGCGCTACTAATAAGGCGCTACAGCTAACGTATAGCAGTAGCGCCTGTTGACCCACGCTACTGCTACTGATGAATAGTTGTAGCGCTCTTTGGAAAATGGCGCTACTGATATTATCTGCAGCGCTTTTCAGCAGGAAGCACTACTGGTAAGTCGGCGCTACTGCTAAATTTCCCCCCTCGCTACTACTAGTTTTATTAGTTTTTTTCCTGCCTATTTGTTTTTTATTTGTTTTGTATTTGAATAGGCTTTATACAATAATCTTTAGCATAGCATCCACATACAAATGTAATTATAGCATATACATACAATTAGTCTCATCAAATCATGTCATCATCATAATCATCATCCAACACAAAGTGGTCTCTCGTCATCAATCTCGAAAATAGCGATACAAGTCTTGATTACTTGCAAATACATCGTCATCCATCTAAACAATGATATACGCGAGAATAGCTATCACTTTGAGTACATGAGTTCGTATCCCTCTCTCGCATTAGCGTGAACCTAAACTAAGTACTGCGTGTCACTCGGAAACCGAAAACCGGTACACCTGGGCCTGACACTCCGGCCACTTGTCGTATATATACTCCTGGCGTAGCACTTCTTCGCCATCTATGATCTATGCACCTGCATCGTCACATGAGTCGATGATATGCAACATATATAGTTGAGAAACAGAAAGAGACAGACTTGGCAAAAATAGAAATAACATAACATAAGCATAAATAACAAAGTTCATCGTACCCAAAATGACCTAACTAGAGTGATTTTCGCTAGTCGAGGAGGAGGACGGTTTAATTACATCACAAATAAAGTTTCACCGTGCATAACTCAAAGTTTTGTCAGAAAAGAAAGTATGGACTAAACGGACACATTGTCATATATCGACAATCACTCCATCATGTCGTGACATCCATCCATGTCAGGGGGATAGTCATCGAGCTTAGTGAAAGGCTTCATGTCGAGACGCTGAGAGGCTATCCATGTTCGGACGTCTTCCCGCGACATTTGTCCTTCTTCATGGAACATCCCTGTTTTTCCGACGACCTCATTCATGATGATTTGGGCAAGTTCGCGCTAGATGTTATAGAACTCAGCTCAAAGTCGATGATCCTCGATATCTCCTATGTCCTTTGCCCATTGCAGAATATGGGCATCGCCAGATCTAGGTGCCATGTGAAGGTTCTGGTGATCCCGTCTGTACTCCAGCATGTGGTGTAGGACATAGAATCCATCATTAAGAGAATCGTTCGGTTGCTGGATGCAGCAGAAGTCGGTCTTATGGCTGAAGGCGGCCCTGCCGCCCCTTCTCTTCTTGTCCCTAACCTCTCCACCCCTTGCTTGGTAGTAAAACATAGCATTGTCGAGAACATCTTTGATGTGGGTGTAATCCTTTTTGTGAATGTTCTTCGACGAGTCCAAGTAAAGAGCGTGGGAGAATCGGGGGTAGAGGATGATGAGGACGGCGCGCCAGCCGCTGCGCAAAATAAGTACACCTCAAATTAATTAGCCTCCACCGTGCAAATGAATTATTGAAATTGAAGAAAGGATAGCAGCGCGGATGACTTACACGGGATGATAAGGCACGAGAATCGCCTCCTTGTCCTTATTGGCCAGCATGAAACTGACGATGTAATCCCTCGCGTATTCACAATGCTGTGCACAGACTCTCAAGAAGCCCTCGTGCATGTAGTACGGGTCAGTGACACAGATAAAACTTTATCTACTCAACCCCAATGATGTAGTTCATGTGCAAGGCATAAAGGCGGACAAACGTAAAATCCAGCTTCTTCACGTGAAACATGTCGAATATGTAATCGAATCGGAGGAAGAACTTATCCGCGGGGAAGCCGTCGACGTACGACATTTGTCGCGGAACGTTAACCACGTAGAGTGGGTATCCTGGATCTTTCGAGGCGATGAGGCCTTTCTCTACCCGCAGCACATCGTCATGAAGTCTCCTTAGATCGCCGAATATGGCCCGTAGCGCTGTTTCAGGTAGGATTGATCGACCGGGGATATGCCATTTATCAGCATCTGGGATATCTACACGGTCCTGAAGCCGAGGCTGCTGAGGCGGCTGGATCATAGACTCAGCTTTTTTGCCTTTCCTCGCTCTCTTCCTAGGCTTGTTTACCACCGGATGGTTTTCAATAATACGTTGAGATGGTAATTCAGGCACTGACTCATGATGCTCAAACCCTGAGGAGGCGCCAGTATAAACATACTGTTCAGCGCCATCGTCATCCTCATCCTCATCCATGGCGACATCATCAGCGACTAATGGAGCCACCTGCTTACCCCGTCCTCTATCACCCAACCCGACACCCGACGCTAATTGGGTAAGTGGGGTGTTGATGTTCATACCTTGCTGAGGCTGCGTGCTCGTGGGTGTGCTCCCGGTCGCCTCCAGACGAAGCAGACTCTTTGGCCACAACAGGACCGACCCATTACAACAATCACCAAGCCACCGCGGGGTCTCGTCGTCATCCCCCACTAGTATTAGAGGAGGCAAATTCTCGTGGCCCAGTTTGACACTGGCCACGGAAACCTTGAAGACGTTCGGGGGGATCGACCGGCTGTGGAACAATGGTTCCCTCAGCTCCATTATCGTCCCCTTCCCCACGTCCACCTTCTGTTCGCCGATGGTGTACAATATGGTGCACGGGGTTTCGTCGGCATGCAAAGAAAAGTCTGCGACGTGAGACATCCGAAAGGCAACGAAAACGGGAGATTATACATTTATATTGAAGGGGGCCGGTGTGGCAGATACCGTGAGGGCGTCAAGCTCAGCCAAAGAGGAGGCACCACCGAGCACGTCCGGTGCGGGAGCCGGTGCGGGAGCCGGTGCGGGAGCCGGTGCGGGAGCAGGTGCGGCCAAGAAGTCAGCAATGGGAAAGTCCTCTGCATTTTTTTTCTGGATTTTGCCTTGTCCAAGTGTAAACGCCCGTCACCAAGGAAGTAGATATATCTGCAATCGCCTGTTTTGCGGCAGCTACCGCTGTTGCGACTGTCTGAGATGATTTCTTCTCAACCACAATCTCAACCTTCTTGTCGATGCTTTCTTCAGTTAACCTCCGTCTTTCCTTTTTCTCCTTCGTGGTCTCACGGTAGTACTTCTTCCACGTGGCGCCGTCTCCGACACCGTGCATGCGTCCATACGACGGTCGAGTATCTACCGGTTGTTGTTTCAATATGTTCAATGCCCGGTTGAATGGAGTGTCCCACTTGGGCCTCGCCAATGCCTCAGCCGGCGAGTCGCTTTCGGCCGCAATCCGGTGCTGTTCTCTCTGCAAAAGGCACAAGGATCGTTTACAAATATGAATAACGTGTGCAGTCGAATTGATCAGAAACTAAAATTACCAGCAGTCTCATGAACTCCGTAATGACCAGTGTTGTCTCGTAAACCTTCTTCACTGGGTCCCAACGGTGCCGGGCCCTCAGGACGTCACGCTCCTGCGGGACGGTGAAATCCGCCAAGGGGTCTGGGATGCCCAGACTCGCGGCTTCCGCGTCCTCCTTGGCCCATTTGGACCTCTTTCCACCGTAACCACGGCTTCCGAGGTGGTGGGTCCCAATGTTCCTCTTTTGAAGCCCCTTCGTGTACTTAGACTTTTCTTTGGCAGCTTCGGCCTCGCAAGCCTCCTTAAATATTTGAAACTGCTCTTCCGTGATTGTCGGACTATCCTTTACAATCTCGGAGTAGGGTTCCCCATCGTTGATCTTTGCTTTCACTCGATTTTTCCAGGCGGCCAACGCGTTGCTAAACTTGATCATGGCGTGTTTGTTTATCTTCTTCATTGTCGGGTCCTTGTCTGGATCTTCATAATCCTTCTCATTCCGTCCCGGGAACAAGAATATCTGGTGAAACTTCTTTAGGAGGGAGCTCCTCATATTTTCTATCTTCTTTAGATTCTTATCGTTGATGGTGGCAGTTGTCTGTATGATGCAGCCTATTTGATTGCCGTAGCACGCGCGCGCTTCCTCGGGCGCCTTTGGCTCAAAATTGCCGTCGTCCACCTCCGTGACCACCAGTCTAGTAGTCCTGAGTTTGTTAGGAACCCGTTGCCTCTTTGCTTTCGGTTCTACACCGGCTCCACTCCCCGAGGCAGCACCGGTCTCAGCGCCGGTCTCGATGCCGGTCTTAATCTCAGCGTCGGTCTCAGTCTTAGCACCGGTCTGCGTGTCAGTCTCAGCACCGGTCTGCGTGTCGGTCTCAGTCCCCGATGCCACCGGTGGGCCCAGCAACAACATCTGTTGATCATCGGTAAGGCTAAAAAATTCGTCTACCGCCCGGTAGACGTCGTCGCAATCACCAGAACCCTGTCCTTCATCGTTGCTAGCCATGTTTCCTATGATTAAATCTAGTCAATTAATTCTAGACCTAATAAAATGAATAATGACATAAAAAAGGACTATTGTTTTGCAGGAATGTTGACTCCTTCCTGGTGCGGCAAATCTCGGGTACTCGATATGTCCTAGTTTGTAGCACAAGTCATGCCGAAATTCACGAGAAATTTCGGCATGACCTTTGCTAAAAAGTGGACAAATCGAGAACCTGAAATT